ACCTTGCGCTTGCCAGGCAGGCGCTGTGCCGCTGAACTAAAACCCCAGCCCCATTTTGTTTGTTTGTTTGTTTGTTTTTGTTGTTGTTGTTGTTGTTGTTGTTCTGTTCCATTCTTGTTTTTATTTCTTCCTTCTCTGTTTCCTTCCTGTCTTCTTCACGAGTTTTCCAAACGATCAGTCTCAGCTGGGCATGGTGGCGCACGCCTGTAATGCCAGCACTTGGGAGGAGGCAGGAGGATCGTTGTGAGTTCGAGACCAGCCTGGGCTACAAAGTGAGCTCAAGGCCAGCCTGAACTGCACAGCCAGATCCTGTCTCAAAAAGATTAAAAAAAAAAAAAAAAAAATCAGTCTCCATTGGTATCGAATTTTATGCTAAATAACGTTATGGTGGCTGCACCTAGCCATGATTATATCCTTACTGTAAATTCCTAGAAAAGTATGTAAAGTTTCAAGTTCTGCCAGATTATCTAAATTTTACTTCTACTCACTTTTTTTTGTTTTAACTTTTTGAGACAGAGTTTCAGTATGCAGTTTAGGCTGGCCTTGAACTCACTTTGTAGCCCTGGCTGGCCTGGAACACATGGTGATCCTTCTGCCTCCGCTTCTTGAATGCTGGGATTACAGGCCTGTACCACCCCACCCAGGTCCCACCCACCTTTAGAGAAGTCTTGTTTCCTGGCACCCTTAGTAAAATTGGCTATTTTAACTTTTTTTACACTGACTATATACTTATTGATACAGGGTCTCCTATATAGACCAGGAGGGCCTTTACTTCATGGCTCTCCTCAGGCCTCACTTTCTTGTTTTTTTGTTTTCTTTCTTCCGGTACCAGGAATTGAACTCACGACCTTGGGCTTGCCAGGCAGGCGCTGTGCAGCTGAGCTAAATCCCCAGCCCCTTGCCTCACTTTCTTTTTTCTTTTTTATTTTTTGCCTCACTTTCTTGAATGCTGGAATTATAGGTGTGCACCACCATGCCTGGCAACACTGGCTATTTTATTTTATTTTATTTTATTTTATTTTTTGGTACCAGGAATCAAATGCAGGACTTTGTGCTTGCCAGGCAAGTGCTGTGCTACTGAGCTATATCCCCAGCCAGCTATTTTAAAATATTTA